CAGCAGTTGAAGGCTTAGCATTGGAAAAGAGGACACAAATGTGGCCAAAAAGCCCAGTAAACAAGCAAAAGATGCTTCAATTTCCTCAGCTTTTTTTATCAGTTCAGAAAAAAAAAAAACATCACATAACTTCCATATTGCTAAAACCAAACAACTCCATCCGCACCATAGATCACCAACTCAAATGAGTGTCGATTAAACTCCTCACAGCCCCTTACAAGGGCTAGGTGATAATAAGGTGCTTTTTTGCAGTTTAACACTACATCTTTAGCAGAAAAAAAAAGAGGTGAGAAAGCAAGAGGAATTTTAAAAGTGACTCCTAGTGTTCTTCTAAACAGACTCAAATGAACTCAAATGTAAACTCTTAATTGAGTCTTCATAACAAATGGTGTATATAATAAAAATCCCTGACGGCCATTCAACAGAGAGCAGGAATCTAGTATACCCAAGAGGACATTCAAGAAAAAACAAATTTGACAGCTAGACAGGAGTTACAGGTGGAGGTCAGCATCTGAAGGATGACGGTTAACTATAGATGTTGCGTATGAAATGAGAACCTGAAAGGGAAGAAAAGAAGATACAGTGAAAATATAGAAGAGAGAGAGAGAGATAAATGAGAGCCTGGCCTGCCGCCTGATCCAATGTATTATTCAGAATGACAATAGAGTAACACAAATTAACTAGGACAATTTAAAGGCTGAGAAGAGAACGGAAGAGATGCTTGTTTTACACTGTAAATTATAATACCAGCATAAATTAAATTAACCATTGGCACACAAGCACTACAGAAGAATAGACTATTTGTGTAAATATAGGACAAACCCCCAGAAAACATTCTTCACACAATGAGGAAAAATAACATTACCATGTTAAGAAAGTGGCATGAATATTCATTAGGTGGCATTTTGCAAATAAAAAGGACTGCTGTATTGCACTCAAATTCATGACTCAAACATTTCATCAATTAGTAAAACTCATTTAAAGCTCTCTGGAGTGTAGGCTATATTGGAACAGCTACCAAGTTGAGGAAAGTGCTGATGAATCTCCAGTTGGGACCAACAAAACTGAAAGCCAGCTTTGACAGCAACATTTAATTGGTATTGATTAACTGAACCAATCTAACTGAAGAAATTGAGGCTCAATTAATCAAACTGAATAAAATATCGGCTCCTGGAAGTGTGTGCCATTTGTAGCTGGCACATGTATGGGCGAAAAAGTGGGACTTTCGTCTACAATTAATCAAGAAAATTGTCAGAATCGAAGAATTGTCTTCCTTTCAATTCACAGGAAGTTGAATTTGAGGAGGGAGGACAGGAAGGATTGTAATTGTAAAAAAAAATGATAATACTAAAAACAGGTAATGAGATATATCAACTAAATACAAATGTATATATACCATAGGCGTCATTTTAAAAAAAATCTGTCAATCCATTGTTGTCAGTAAGGCCTATAAACTTTCAAACATTTTAAAACTTGTTTTAAACCTTTCAATAAAGGCTTTATCAAGCAAACATTCAGTTAAAAAATAGTTACATACATTTCAAGTTATTTTAATTCTACACCTTGTGTTCAAATTCGATTTGCAATTCTGTATCATGTTTGCTGCCTAAATTCAAATTCAGGAGCTGAACTGGAAATTAAAAGGCTTTTTTTATTCAACTCGGAATGGTGAATAGTAATTTGAGAAGTGGGAGCAACAACACTTACAAATTCAGGTATGAGTCAAGCCACAATAATTCTTCACAATGCTTCTAAACGTGTTAATACAGCCAAGCCACTGAAGTGAGCACTAATGGGTGAAGCAGCGTGTAATCTCTACCTCAGACTGCACTGCCACAGACTGTCTAAAGCAAATTGCACATTAAAATGGCAAGAACAGGTTGAAATCTAACAGACCAAGTTCTACAGTTTCCATGAATCAGGGTGCAAAGGTTATTTTAAGTCATGAAGAAACAAAGCCATGTTTGCAAGGTTGCTACAGAGTTGCATGCCGACGTCTTACTGAGGTATTATTGATTTCAGATTTATCCGTCCTAACATCACAGCTGGTCTTCCGGTCTAAAACATAGTATGGACCGAACGTTTGCCAACAGTCATAGTCTGGTCCTTGAGACGAAGCAGCATGTGTCTTTGAGGGTTTAGAAGTCATTTCTAAGTCATTCAATCATGTGACTGAGCAATAATGCATCTTTGAAGGTTCTGTAGGCTGTTGAACTTCCCTCCTCCTAGGCCATAAACTGTCTAGAGATGAAGCAATTCAGACAAGTAGTTGCCAAAACAGGCAGATGCGTCCGGAATGCGCCTCCCATGTAAATGGCCCCTTCCCACATAAACACAGTGGAGTCTCTTAATGCTCAACAGGGCTGGGGTTGACAGTGAAAATGAATTCACATTCATGGCACCACTGCCAACCACGTTTCCCAGGTGGCCCCTGGGGTTTCTCTCTGCTCTGTAGTGGTGACAGCGACTAGTTCTCTCTCCTGCTCTCGACAAACTGCATAATAGACACCCTGGCGATGCAATCCTCCCACAGACTGCCCTCAATTTAAAACAATATTTATCAGCACTGTGGAGGTGGCTCGCAAAATGTGGGTGGTAGTTGCGGTAGTCTCACAAACGTCTAAATATTTAGCTAAAATGGCTCCCAAAGAAAACGGCCAATAAATTCATATCGCTGCCTTTTTAGGAACGAAGCATGTCAAATTTCTAAAGACTCTAGTGGCGAAGCCAATGTCCCAAATGAAACACGACTCATTTGTAATCTTGTCCATGTGACAGCTCCTCTATAGATGCCCACGTACTAACATCTTATCCAATGACGCAGTCATCGACTCTAACACACCCTGAAACTAAATGCATGTAAAAATATTACAAGAGAAGCAGATATGTCCCAGAAGAGACTCTGAATACTCAGTGAAAACTTGGGGTTATTACCACACACATAGTGAGAAGATGTTTAGTCCATCAATGTGAAGTGGCCCAACACAGTGCCTTGAGGCACTCCTACACCATCTTCTAGTCAGAAGCTCTACTGGCTAGCACTAACAACTCAGGAAATGTTTTTTCCTTTGTGTAGGAAGGCAGGATCTGCTGACTAGACATATAAATGTCTGCTTGAGTAATCTGGTTTAAAAGTTAGGATACAACAATTCAAGAGTCAGAGCTTTGGGTGGCGCAGGCAGACTGCTGATACACTTTCTCCAACAGTTGCAGAGTATGACAATCTCATAACAATAGAGCTTGTCTTCACTCTACGGGTTACCTGAATGTTGAAAGACGACAGGAGCGATTAGTGGAGCGCTGAAGCGATAGAGGATTCATAACAAACAGCAGGACACACACAGGCCTCTCTGTTCTTACACCTTCTCTCTGTTACTGAACATGGATTCAGCACTTGAAAAGACATTACGGTGAAGCGTGTGTGGGCGCATGCTGAAAGACAGAGCTGCTATAGTAAAAGAAAAAGATGGTACCAAATAAAAGCAACATACTTTTTTATGTGGGGGTTCATCTACATGCCTATGTTCAGAGTGTGACTTGTTCTCAGAACTGTTTTCTCTGAAGGGCCCTGCATTAAAACACTAGAAAATCAGCAGAAAAGAGACAACATGACTCAAGAACCATCTAAAATGTCCAGGGAATTTATTTTTGTGTCTTCACGGCACGTTGCAGACAATCATTTATAGTCATTGGGGAGTTCCTCTCTGAAACAGAGTTTGATGTAAATGTGAACAGAGCACTGGAAGTTCACTACAGACTGCGCTGAATGGAAAAATCTCCTAAAAGCCTCAAATAATAAGCAATCTTAGAATGCAAATGGAAGATGAATAGGTTTCTATTTTGAGAGAGACTAAAAATCATGACCTTGGCCTGTGCAGCAAAAAGCAGTTACGTACGCTAAATCCGCGATATGGACTAAAACATTCAGAAATTTGTGTCTTTTTTTTTTTTTTTTACACTTATGTCATTCCAAACCTGTATTTCCATTCATCCATGGAAGAAATTTAAAAAGAAGACTATTTGAAGAATGTTCATGCTGCTCTCTTCTATGTAATGCAATTTTGAGGGCTGTCAAACCCAGTTCTACTGAAGCATAAAATTAGGTACCAATTGTTTTTATCACAAACTCTGAAATCCCTTGTATTTATTTTTTGTTTATTTCTTACCAACAGAAAATATATGTAGTTTTTCAACTTAAGTAAATTATTCTCTCAGGGGCGTGGGTCGATGAGGATTGTTTCCAGACTCTTTAAACGAACTGGATTTCTGTCTCTCCACGGAGCTCACGCGTCTGTCTGTGCAAGGTGATTGGCATCTCGCTCATTCCTGGTGAAAAACAGCTGCCTGCTGTTTGAGCTAGTTAAGACTCCAGAACACGGCTGTGGAGAGCTCGAGACAGGACAACCATGAACAATCTCTGCTCAGAAACGCATTTCTACAGGTATAGCATAAATTTCCTTCCAAAAAGGCAAAGCAATGCCTGGAGATAAGAGATAAAGTGTCCGTAACTGATTTTAGATTGCTTATTATATGCTAAGTTTATGCCCATCAATCATAGACATTAAGCTGTCACTTCATCAATAGCTGAAATCATATCAGAGCCAGTTCCTTCGTAGTCACTGTGTGAAGCAGCAACAGTTGAAAATGAAATCACTTCCTTGGTTATTTCTTTGACAAGTATATTACTTGTCAAGCATAGTGGGTTACAATTTTAAATGCTTCACTAGAGAGCCGGAAAACAATTCTCAACATCCTTACAGGATTGGCTGATGGAAATTATACAAATGACAAGGTTTTACTTACACAGAATATAGAGACAAGGAAAGAACAAGGAAGGAAAAGGGAAATGGGTTTGCAAAATGCATCGAATACATGACTACCAAAATGGTTCAACACAACATATTTCAATATTACATGAATCAAAAAGATGCTTATCACTATTGGTATGGTAAGAGTATAGGGTTGTGTTCCACTTGAATGGAAAAAACAGCCGAGGTTACCTTCAGTGGGGTTGACGGCCATTGGTAGGCTCTCCCAATCAACAGTCCACGACGGGCAAGGGTGAGGGCTGTAAACAGCGTCTATCCCATTTTCCTACAGGACACAAGAACACATAAGCACAGGTTAAACCATAGACTCCCGACAGAAGCCTCCAGGCAACAGCATGACCACTTCTCACCCTTCCTCCGAACGCCTGAGACAAGGTGCTAATTAAATCAGGAACCCGTTACAGAGCAGTTCATCCCACTTTACAAACTAATTTAAAGGTTGAAGTCCTGTAATTGATTTGACATTTTTCTAGTTGGTTCTTAATCATCAAAGAGACCTAGAAGAATTGGGTAAAAGTGTGCTCTGACAATTATTCCTCATTGAGAATATAAGATGCAAACCAAGTACTAATACATGCAATGTTACAGAATATATGGTGTTGTGTTGGGGGATTTCATAGGGTACTTTTTTAGTGCAAAACAAGTTTTCGCCAGTTCGATGAGATAAGGTTAGTCACCTATTTAGAATGAAATTAACCTGCATGATCAAAAAAACTCATGTGGAACGGAGTAAAGGCAGGGTCAGATTGGTGTTAAAACCTCTAGGAAAGACTTTTTGCTTAACAAAATGTACAAACAATAAGAAACTAAAGGAAAAGTTCAAGTATTTAAGATTCAAAAAGGATGCAAAGAACCATAGGAGCATAAAAAAGTCCATATGACTCATGCACTTTGTCTGAAGAGAAACACTGTATATTTAAAATAAATGATTGACTTTAAGTTACTTTACCATATTACAGTAAAAACTGTTAATGGTTTAACATTGCATTAACACAATAACTTCACCATATAACTTACAGTGAATAACAGTAAAATGACATTCAGAGAAGTCACTGTGTGACATATCACACACGATTTAATTTTAAGTAGTTTTGTGTCTTGTTATATTTTACCTGATGGTGTGTATGACCCCTGTGCACTTGCAATGCTCTCAGATTCATCATGTGACTTTCTATTGTATACCTGTTTTTATGGTGGTTATCAGTGCATTTTAAGTAAAAAACTGATTTTGGTAGTTAAACTCTGCATTTAACATTATAAAACAATGAAATATAAGTTTAAAAGTTACATTTACATATTGTGTAATACCTGAAACAAAACAAGATTATAAAATGGATAGTTCCCATTCTGTTTTCTGGAATAGGTCAACAAAGCCTTCCAGACATGCTGAGATCCACAACCACAATATATATCAAAACAGACTTCAAATAGTTACTCGGCTAATCTGCCTAATGACACTCTTTAGCAGTGACTAAACTGAGTAAAAGCGTATTAAATCTCTCAAACCACCAAATGAAGCTCCTGAGATGCTCTTGGTCACTGATTTAGAACAAGCCTGGTTCTGCTTGTTAAACAGTAGCTATTGCGACGGTGCATCTATGTTTACTGCTCTGACATTACAAATCCAGGCTGGCCATAAGGTTTGGCTCCGAGAATAAAAATGTAATTTGCTCTAAAGCAATGAGCCACCAGCAACAGCTGCAGAGCAGACCTAAAGCAGAAAGCACGCAGCCTGGAAAATCCCAGTGGACTGCTATGCATTAAGAGAGCCTGCTGAGCTCCAACTCATTGACACACACCAAATTGATATCCACTAGCGTGACGGGAAATATCTGATTTATAGTAGCTGAATGGCAGAGGTGGCAAACACCAAGCACACACACATAAAAAGCTGGAAGTTCTGCAGCAGGCCTGAAAACTAGACGGCAGCTGTGTGTTTTTATCACCTGCTGGGGACTCGGCTTCAGCATTGTGGTCCGGGGCAGACAGTACAGAGATCCAGCATTGTTACTCTGTTTGCCTCTCCTGCGGGAGTCGTACGCCAGAAGTGTATGAGACCACTGCGGACTCTTTACTCATTATCGGCAGATTTCTGCACCGGGGATGAAGTGTTGTTAGAGTTTGTGGGCCGTTTAGATGCTGGGTAAATCAGCAGGACTGCTATGGAAGTGGTGGGAAATTGAATAAGCAGACAGAAGACTGTGCAGGAGGTTATGGACCGAATCGGCGGTTCCTCTGGGGAGGAAAAAAGAGCACTCATCAGGACAGTTATGATGATGCCACAAGCTGAGCTGTCCATGTAATACAGCCTCTTAAGGGTGCATTATTATCTGGAAAGGTGAGGAAACATGGGGGTCTGCAAGTAGAGAGGTACATCAGTAACAGCCCTTAAAAAAGTATGCTTGCGGTACCATGGTATAGAAACGTTGGTAATACCAAACATTTTGATATAGTGGCCCCAAACCAATTTGAACACTAAATCAACAATTAAAAAAAAAAAAAAATCTTATTTTTACCATAATCAAAGAAAACCACTTTGGCATCATATATGTCCAAAAACTGACTTTCTACTAGTTTTTCTTGTTGCAGAGAAACCTTACCCTGGTTAATATAGTTAAATGTTTCACACACGTCTAGATGCTTGACTGGCTTGGTATAGGGTCACTATGGTTCTTTTTGTTTAAGGACAAACTCTATCTTACACTTGTGGTTAAACGTTAGCCCACCTTTCAGGACAAACATGTTTGAAGAGTGAAAGAGTGAACTTGAGAAAAGAATCGTTTCTTTCAGTTTTGTTATGATACATCATTATTAATAACATGAAAACTTGTGGTGTGTAGGGATTCCTAAAGACAATGATGATGAATTAAACTGTTACCGGTACTTCTTTTTGTAATAAAATTAATGGACTGAAATATGAAACTCACTTAATTTTTCTCTACTTCAAATAAAGTCAATCAATCTATATACTTCACCTGATATATTTTCAGTCATGTATGTCTTCTTTCTGAACAAAGCCTAATATGTACCTATTTACACTACTATTGAAAAGTTTGGGGTCAGTAAGATTTTTTAATGCTTTTGAAAGGATTTCTTCTCCTCACCAAGGCAACATCTATTTGATCAGTAATATAGAAAAATATAACAATTTTACTGTTTTCTATTTAACGTAAAACGTAATTTGCTAAGATAAAAACAACTGTTGAAAACAGTTAAACAGCTGCAGAATGTTTTTGTAACAATGTAAAAGCATTTACTGTCACTTTTGATCAATTTAATGCAATCTTACTGAATAAAAGGATTCATTTATTTAAAGTATTATTTATTTACTGACCCAAAACATTTGAACAGTAGTGTATACACTCACCTAAAGGATTATTAGGAACACCATACTAATACTGTGTTTGACCCCCTTTCGCCTTCAGAACTGCCTTAATTCTATGTGGCATTGATTCAACAAGGTGCTGAAAGTATTCTTTAGAAATGTTGGCCCATATTGATAGGATAGCATCTTGCAGTTGATGGAGATTTGTGGGATGCACATCCAGGGCACGAAGCTCCCGTTCCACCACATCCCAAAGATGCTCTATTGGGTTGAGATCTGGTGACTGTGGGGGCCATTTTAGTACAGTGAACTCATTGTCATGTTCAAGAAACCAATTTGAAATGATTCGAGCTTTGTGACATGGTGCATTATCCTGCTGGAAGTAGCCATCAGAGGATGGGTACATGGTGGCCATAAAGGGATGGACATGGTCAGAAACAATGCTCAGGTAGGCCGTGGCATTTAAACGATGCCCAATTGGCACTAAGGGGCCTAAAGTGTGCCAAGAAAACATCCCCCACACCATTACACCACCACCACCAGCCTGCACAGTGGTAACAAGGCATGATGGATCCATGTTCTCATTCTGTTTACGCCAAATTCTGACTCTACCATCTAAATGTCTCAACAGAAATCGAGACTCATCAGACCAGGCAACATTTTTCCAGTCTTCAACTGTCCAATTTTGGTGAGCTCTTGCAAATTGTAGCCTCTTTTTCCTATTTGTAGTGGAGATGAGTGGTACCCGGTGGGGTCTTCTGCTGTTGTAGCCCATCCGCCTCAAGGTTGTGCGTATTGTGGCTTCACAAATGCTTTGCTGCATACCTCGGTTGTAACGAGTCAGTAACGAGTTATTTCAGTCAAAGTTGCTCTTCTATCAGCTTGAATCAGTCGGCCCATTCTCCTCTGACCTCTAGCATCAACAAGGCATTTTCGCCCACAGGACTGCCGCATACTGGATGTTTTTCCCTTTTCACACCATTCTTTGTAAACCCTAAAAATGGTTGTACGTGAAAATCCCAGTAACTGAGCAGATTGTGAAATACTCAGACCGGCCCGTCTGGCACCAACAACCATGCCACGCTCAAAATTGCTTAAATCACCTTTCTTTCCCATTCTGACATTCAGTTTGGAGTTCAGGAGATTGTCTTGACCAGGACCACACCCCTAAATGCATTGAAGCAACTGCCATGTGATTGGTTGATTAGATAATTGCATTAATGAGAAATTGAACAGGTGTTCCTAATAATCCTTTAGGTGACATACTAAACAGGTTACTGTGGAAAATTAAGTGGGGAAAAATTACTATATAATTTAACTAATTTGGGCATTTGTAGTTGCCACTCGCCACAGTAGCTTTATTTTAAATTGTGAACATATTAGCAATGGTACTGTTTAAAAAGATATTAACCACAGTTTATGGTCTGCAAAAGTGAGAATAACTGCAAAATTTCTCGTTTCATTTAATACCTTATTTTTATGAGGCAAAAATATGCACTGAATTCATGTTTCTCCTGATCGTTTGACCTTCGTAAAGCAGTGGTTCCCAAACTGGGGCACGTGAGGTGACAGAGGGGGTACGCGAACAAAATGCTGAGCTTTCCCGTTCATTTAATTCTATCCCACCTTAAAATAACATTAAAACCGAGCATAAGCTCAAGCATATGACATCCAATCAAATTACCTCATCTTTTGCATTCAAAACTGACAGTATCCATTCCACACAAGCAGCGTGCTTATGATAGATGGCCCGCAGAGTATCCTGCTACAAATCTCGCTACATTACTGCCATTCTCGACAGTGTACCTTTGTAAAAGTGGGGTTTTAGCACGTACTAGCATGAAGAACAAATATAGACACAGACTGTGCATAGAGATCGATTTAAGACTTAAACTCTCTTCGATACAGAAACATACCCTCTAAGAGTTATATGTTAATAATACATTATGAGAAAGAATGCAATTTTTCCCAAATATCCACACGATTGCATATGTGATATTGATTTTATACAACAGTTAAACAGACAAAAGGGTAATATTAAGTGATGTACATTTTAAATACATTATTGTTTGCTCTATTTTGCAACTAAATAATAGTTCCAACGAACACCACCGCAGACAGAGCTGCAATTTACAGCAGTGTTTTGTGAACAAATCTGCGGCTTTGAACGAATCGGGAGAGTCAATGATTCAATGACCCATTTATAAATACAGCCTTGTTACTGAATGAATGAATGACTCAATGGCTCACTCATTAAGACAGTGATTTACTGCCACATACTGGCGGATTTCGTTTTTTTAAAGTATCTCTTCGTGTTCACCATTATTTCATATTTCTCTATTGCACATTTTTTTAAAAACATAATTTATTTTATAAAGGTATATATATATATATATATATATATATATATATATAAAGGTAAATATGCACTGGAACATCAATTTAAGGGGAAAACTATTGTCCCTTAATAGAAAAGGTGTCACTGCAGTCTAAGTGGAAGACAGGGTGTACGTAGAAAGATGTTAAATTCCTCATGAGTACACCACTCTAAAAAGTTTGGGAACCACTGGCTTTAAGCATGAAATTAGGTGAGTCACAATTGATCACAATTCATTTCTTTTTAAATAAAGCTCATGAATGTTTCTTTGATTTATGGATTAGGATTTCATTGTATATTGAAGTTCCTCTGTTATATCCCTCTACATAGTCTTTACCACAACTAATGAATGTCAGACTAACAGCTGAAAGAACTCGCAGTGCTTGTCGAAGTCAGACAGCCACGTAATACCAGTCTCCTTAAAGTATCAAGTGGCAGGGAGTCCCATCAGTTAAGAGCGAGTCAGTACGGCTGCTGTTCTGCCTCGCTGGAGTGCATAAATCCTTTATCATCACGGTTCAGGCCCGCAGTGGCACACAGGGCTGCCGTAAAGGGACGGGAGCACAGCACTGAACGTATTGAGAGCAGATCGCTGTTTAGGGATTATGTGAGTTCGCCTCTGACAGGTTTAGTGAAGTGGCAAAGAGAAGCGCTTCTGTGCGTGGCATGTGTAATCTCCTTCTGTGCGAGGGAAGAGTTAGGGAAAGAGAAACGAGGAGAATAAAATAAAAGAGCAAGAGAGCGGGAGAAAAAGAGAGCGAGTGAAATTCAATTACTTGCAGTTTGGTGAGAGTTGGCCTCGGGCCCCCGATGAAGGGCTCTTGCTTAAGTTTGGGGCCGTCCTGCTCTGCTCCACTGGATCGTGGGGCCTCTGGCTGAGGAGGGCAAGGGTCGACCGAGCTGGGACTGAAGAGGGCCATCCCACAATCCTTTGCGGCCCTCAGTACGCTGGGGAGCTCCTGCACGCGCTGGTACCATCTCAGCAGCAAGGGCAGACGGGACAGGGTGGAGGGGGTGTGCTTTTGGATGGAGATCTAGAATGGTTTAATCAAAGACATGATACTTATAATATTCAGAACCTCATATCTCATATGTCTGTGTATAAAATTGATATATGAAAAAAAAATTGCATTAATAAAACGATATATATACACACCATATTTAGGACTGTTACAGTTTTCTTGTTTTTTATTGTAACTTTTTTTTATGACTATCAAGCACATTTTCCCCACAGATTCTCTATATTGCAGTGCAATTATTTAAATTTGCTAAATATTTATACATCATGCTAGTATTTGTTTGACTTTAAATGTAAGCTGGTTTAAATATATATATATATAATATATATACATACCTGGAATGGATCATTATTTATTACAGTGAGATTAGTTACAATGAGATTTTTGCTTTACAGTTAAGAGAATATGGAAGTAAAATATGCCTAATTGTCATTATAAATAATGTTACCATCATTTTTTTTTTATTGGTCTATAAATTCAATATATAGATATTATCTCAATATTTGCACATGTACACACACACATATGTATAATTCACACACACATACATATTCACTTGCATATTGTTGCACTGTTGTATTGTTGGTTTGTTTCTATTGTTCTCATTTGGGTGAAAGCGTCTGCTAAATGATTAAATGGAATGTAAAATAAATATATATATATATATATATATATATATATATATATATATACACTGCTGGCCCCCCCAAAAAAGTCGCTGTTTGGATTTAAATAGGCAAATTGTCTATGATTGGATCATTATTGCAGTGATTATTATATATTTGGCAACAGTTCTTCTAACCCTAATTGATGGAGTGTGTAGTTTTTCATGCACCTCTTGATGGAAATAACATCAAAACAAAAACAAAAAGATTCTTCATGCTCCCTCCCAACCATTCTTTCACAATTTGAGCCTGATGAATCTTGACATTGACAAACAAAACAAAAGCCATTCATCAAAGTTTAAGAGTAAAAACTGAGGTCACATTTCAGAAAACAAATGTGCAATCGTTATGGCAAATAGGCGAGACAGTGGCTCTGTGTGTATGTTGTGCTCCCGAGGAATTTTCGAAAACAGCGTAATGCATATTAAAAAATGCACACTGACAGTGAGATGCTGTGACTTAAGTAACCCATCAGAGTGCTGTGTCCACTGGACCGAGATCAGCTCCGGCTATCATCGCGCCGCAGAGGAAAGACGGGGAGAAAGGGATGAGGAGGACAGAAGGAGGGAGACATGCTAGACGGCGTGTGAAACTAGGAGGCACCGATGCGCCGCTGACCACAGAGAGCCGAGAGCGAGAGAATGACAGGAGCAGAGGGAGAGAAGAATGAACAATGATCAGAGGAGGAATAAAAGAGCAAGAGAGAAAGAGATGACAGAAGTACACACTTCACCTCAAAGACACAGCAGGATGTCTGAAAGAGACAAAGTCTCTATGATATTCTGCTCCCTAGATATCACAGCAAAGTTTGTTTTGTTTTTTTTGTGTGGAGGAATACACTGAAGTATCATTCTTGTCCATAATTTATGCATCACTAATTAAATAATAATAATGATTCATTAATAATTAAATAAAGAAAAATAGTAAATAACATTTAAAATAAGCATGATTTAATTAAAGGAATATTACAGATTCCAAGTTAAGCTGAATCAACACCATTTGTGGCTTTCGATTCTCTGATTGGTGGAGAGAATCATGGGTAATGCAATTTTTCACCAGAAATTCCACTGTCAAACATGATTATTTAAAAGATAAGTTAAACTCATGTGACGACTGACGTCTTCAAGCGTATACCATTAACCTTGTAGCTGAGAGTAGGTCTGTCTTTAAAGATTCAAAATCAAATCAAGAGAAAATTAATGGGATTTTTACTTCCAGAACTGTTGCACTCTATTCATTTAACTTTATCACCTCCAACCAAACCAAAGGAGTCTGCAAGGATGGATTCTGATTGGTTGTCAATGTCACCAGCGATATAAAAGAAATCACTCTGAAAGGGATTCCAACAAGTTCCTCTGTATTATTATACACTCACCTAAAGGATTATTAGGAACTTCTCATTAATGCAATTATCTAATCAACCAATCACATGGCAGTTGCTTCAATGCATTTAGGGGTGTGGTCCTGGTCAAGACAATCTCCTGAACTCCAAACTGAATGTCAGAATGGGAAAGAAAGGTGATTTAAGCAATTTTTGAGTGTGCCATGGTTGTTGGTGCCAGACGGGCTGGTCTGAGTATTTTACAATCTGCTCAGTTACTGGGATTTTCACACACAACCATTTCTAGGGTTTACAAAGGATGGTGTGAAAAGGGAAAAACATCCAGTATGCGGCAGTCCTGTGGGCGAAAATGCCTTGTTGATGCTAGAGGTCAGAGGAGAATGGGCCGACTGATACAAGCTGATCGAAGAGCAACTTTGACTGAAATAACCACTCGTTACAACCGAGGTATGCAGCAAAGCATTTGTGAAGCCACAACACACACAACCTTGAGGCGGATGGGCTACAGCAGCAGAAGACCCCACCGGGTACCACTCATCTCCACTACAAATAGGAAAAAGAGGCTACAATTTGCAAGAGCTCACCAAAATTGGACAGTTTCTTCAGAGTCTCGATTTCTGTTGAGACATTCAGATGGTAGAGTCAGAATTTGGCGTAAACAGAATGAGAACATGGATCCATCATGCCTTGTTACCACTGTGCAGGCTGGTGGTGGTGGTGTAATGGTGTGGGGGATGTTTTCTTGGCACACTTTAGGCCCCTTAGTGCCAATTGGGCATCGTTTAAATGCCACGGCCTACCTGAGCATTGTTTCTGACCATGTCCATCCCTTTATGGCCACCAATGAGTTCACTGTACTAAAATGGCCCCCACAGTCACCAGATCTCAACCCAATAGAGCATCTTTGGGATGTGGTGGAACGGGAGCTTCGTGCCCTGGATGTGCATCCCACAAATGTCCATCAACTGCACGATGCTATCCTATCAATATGGGCCAACATTTCTAAAGAATGCTTTCAGCACCTTGTTGAATCAGTGCCACATAGAATTAAGACAGTTCTGAAGGCGAAAGGGGGTCAAACACAGTATTAGTATGGTGTTCCTAATAATCCTTTAGGTGAGTGTAGTTGTAGCTGTGGTGTGGACTTTCTATTCGCACAGAATAAGAACGATTCTAAAAACGTCATAGTCATAATTATTGTCCCTAGTAGGAACAGATCTTAAAGAGCTTGAGCACTTAATGCGGCATAAAACATAACTGCAGTAATGTCATCTAGCACTTTATTTTATTAGTGTGCACACCTCCAACAGATGCTAACGCACTGTTTATCTAACAGACTGTTAAAAATGAAGCTGGTGGTGGGGGGGTGCCATAGAAGAACCATTTAGCCTCCCTAAAGAACATTTCAGTGAACAGTTCTTAAAAGAACAATCTTTTTCTTAGTTTAAAGAACATTTTAATAATCGAGAAAACTAAATTCCACTATAAAGAACCTTTTGTGGAATGGAAAGATTCCATGGATGTTGAAGGTTCTTCATGGAACCATTGACGCCAATAAAGAAGCTTTATTTTTTTAAAGTGCATAGTTATAATTCATGTTGTGAAGAGGCCTTTATAAACCAAATGGCACTGATGAGTAATAGTCTAGCTAGCAAATGCTGGCGTCAGACTGTGTCAAAGCTCTGAGGACATCACACTGCAATGAATCTAATTCACAGTCCCAATTGAAATAGAAACCACCGGCCTTATTTAACGCGGGACTGAGAAAATCACCTTGAAGTAGGAGAAGTCAGAGTCACGGGAGACTTCTGTGTTTGATATAACTTGAAAGCACCTGTGAGCCTCAATGGTCTACTCTACTGCAGAAACAAATGAATGAATGGCTCTGTTTGTGAGGAATAGTGATTTACACGTAATGGGACAAAAACTGGTTTTCGATTTGTTTGTTTTACCAGGTATTGATGGATGCAGGGGAGCAGGACGACATCAGTGAGGGTGAAATACAGCCCTTCTGCAAACACATGCTCCAGCTCTGGAAGGTCTGTGCTCTTGACTTTCCTGATGTCAGAGCTCTCTCTGGTGGAGGGAGAAGGAACCGCGGCCACAGAGAGCTTCGCCAGAGCAGCACTGAGCTCAACTCCAGGGTGGGATTCATTCAGGCGGTCTTCACTCTCTGTGCTGGGGCCTTTTAGTTGAGAATCACTCTTCTTCTGCTGCTGTAGCTTCTGTCTGCGAATCTTGTCGTCATTGTGGACCTTGACGGGTTCCCCTAACCTCTTCTCTAAGTTCAGGATCGCAGCAGGAAGTCGACACACCTGGTCTTCAGGATTTCGTAAGTGTTCCTCCACTGCAGAGGGAATGTCCAGCTCACACAGTCTAGTCCACTGACTCACCTGAGGAGCAAGTGACAGTTAGAAATCATTTAATAACTGATAAATGTGATGTACGAGTACCCATGACTTATTTGGATGGTTGTCCAGAGTTTCATGTAATTAAGCAAACTAGGAATGCACTGATTCTGAAATTGTGGCCAATACTGAAAAGCTGATCATGTGACACTGAAGACTGAGTAATTTTATAATATATTCAGAGAAAACAAGAGATTTTAAATTGTAATAATATTTCACAGTTTTAACTGTATTTTTGATCAAATAAATGCAGCCCTGGTTAACATAAGATACTTCTTTCAAAAACATAAAAAAAATCATAAGTATTCCAAACTTTTGACTAAAAGTGTTGGTTTTAGTAATTTTAAGTGTAATATACTACATTTTAATAGTTATTTGTCATCCCAAACATCCGATATGACCCATGACGTACATTTGAAATTTTAATAGGTTGACTGACACACAACAAAAGCTTCCCAAAAAATGAAAGTTGCTTTAAGGCATTTTAAAACCATGCATGTCGCTAGTATCTGACAGACTTGTCTGAAACGGACTTGAGACATCACACCTGTCCCGGTGACAGCCCAAGGCTCTAAAGACAGCAAAAAAAGAATCAGGGGAGAAACCCAAGCTTGTTTTTGCTTTGTTATGCCTTATAGCTTCTATCTGAAAGCATTGAGCTCAAATATCAACATCTGAATGTGTGATTCTGTGACGTTGACCTCCAAAATTTAAGTGATCGTGCCTGTCAAAACATGTCAACATGCTTGTCACCCCACAGCTAGTTCACACTTATCAGGCCTAAAATTAACACTCGCCAAGCACCAAATCTGTGAGTAAAAATCTGCGATGACGAGTACATGAAACGGTGTCATTCCCGGTAACATTTTTATGAATTCTAACAATGCATGAACAAACGTGAATGACGCTCAGGACAGTTGACACTGCATCATCACAAAAGTTTTAAGCCTTGACAATTTAAATATTCAAGCATCTCCAAGAAGATGGAGACATCTTTTTTTTTTTTTTACAAATATTCACTCTTAACAACGCTGGGTTGTTTTAACCCAAATTTGGGTCAAATATGGACAAACCCAAATGTTGGGTTAAAAATGTAATTTAAAATTTTAACCCAACTTCAACTTTCACCTGAAATTTTTTAATTACATTTTTAACCCAACATTTGGGTTTGTCCATATTTGACCCAAATTTGGGTTGAAACAACCCAGCATTTTTTAGAGTGTTCATGGCAAAAAATAGAGAATTCTAGTAAACATAGTTGGTTATGTCTTAAAGGAACGCAAACATTAGAGAAAGTAAACACCTGTACAGTATCAGTATACTAGGTCTGAGCATTCGCTCTTTAAAGTGACAGCAGCTTAATAATCCTGCTGATGTCTGTGTTTTTAATGTTCATCAAACAACAAAGGACAAAGAAAAAAAATCACACACTGCTCTTGACTGAATAACTTTTTTAACTTTAAAAAGGATTAATTAATAAGGATGTTTAATTTATACAGTGAAGACTTCGCAGTGTTATTTTACTTACATTTCTATACCTGAAATCTACTGTCAGACCTACATGAAAAACCTGAAAAGCAGATTATTTCATTTGTGTCTTTGTTATATTGTATTTATTTGTGCATTTGCTTGTAATTTGATTTTTGTTCTTATTTTATTACTGACTGTTTACTTGTCTTTAATCATTTTTCATTTTATTTATATTATTAGGCTAGTAGTTTTAGCTGTGGTATTGAAATTGGAATAGAGAATTTTCACTAAAGTTTTGGTGTCATCACTGCCTGTATTTGCAAAGACAGTTTCATGGACGGTAGAAAATATTTATGGCCGGTAAATTTTCACAAGTCACCGACCATTGGCAGGTGTGGCAAAAAGTTAGTTTTAAGCCCTGTTATGACTATGCAATGAGATTTTAAGCACTTGTCCTCTGGTTGTTTTGAAATCCGTAATCTCACCTCAGCACAAGCCTTGAGACAGGTGTTCTTGAAGCCCAAGAGGGACGCCACATCCCTACGGCTTGGCATTAGCTGGCATGCACTCTTAATTATGTGTCTCAGTACGACAGCTAAGCCGGCTCTGCAAAAGCAAACATCAGGCTCCAGCGCAGCGGGGAGACGACACATCTTAACCAGCCGTGGCAGCTCGTCCCTCCTCACCCCAGACACAGTGAGACCCCCGGGCACCAGCCCTGACAGGGACGGCAGGATGTCTGCTTGATCTGTGACCAGGCAGGCGTGGAAAGATGAGCACTCTGTGTAGGAGAGGAGGAAGAGGACGATAGAGGAGTGCAGGGGGAGAGACACGGCTCCGTTCACACTGGACACTTCCAGATAGAGGCTCTCTCTGTCTGATTGTGCCTCAGTTTGCTTCATTCTGACTGTCTAGTGGAGGGCTTGAAGTCTGCAATAGAAATAAAGGGATGGACTCATTAAAAATGTTTCAAATTAATGTTTTAGCAGTATAATGCCTGTGAAAGACTTAAATATTAGAGTGAATGTCTGGAACACAGTTACAACGAGATGCACAGTTATAAATAACGTGTTCTATAACTAAAAATAAATAACTAAAAACCTCCTATGCAGCATGAATTGTATATTTTGTGCAATAAATGTTTAAGTTTAGCACATCAATAAATGTCACTAGTCACTATGTGAGACCGTTTACCGTGGCGTCACGACATTACAAAGTACAATCAGGTAAAAAAATAAATGAAGGAAGAATTTGAAGTGAACCTACTCACAATAGTGTTTGAAATGAGCAAAACAACCACTAGGAAACACATGTGCAACTGTTTGTGTCACATTAAAAATAGTCCGACTATAAACCGACAATCGCGCTTGAGTTCCATCAACGCTTTGGGAATTTGATGGGCGAATAAAATTGTATTATACTACATTACTTGCTTTATGATGTTTATAATCAAAGAAAATTAACAAGTAACACTTAAAACAACGTTGCAATCGTTTGTTTCACATATAATGAGGTTTTATCGCGTAACTGTGAGTGAATGTCACTTTGTGGCGTAATTCCAGTAATTATGTTTAATAAGGGAAAGATGCAAACCATCAATTATGTGATGTTTATTTTGTAGTGACTTTATAAAGTAAAGTTAAAAGTATGCTGAACAAAACTATTTTAATTATCAATTCAAAACTAGTGTACGAGAAGTGTTTTTTTTTTTTTTTTTTTTTTTTTTGTATAGATATTTTGTGCGCTCGATTTGTAGGAGAAGAAATGCGCTAACTTACAGAACACTTGTTTTTGTTTTTTTCAAACCTAATTTTGTGACTTTACAGTTCCATGCGGTTTCATGGTTTCAAAGTCTCGTAACGCGAAATGTCTTTTTTTTCCAAACTTGTTTTGAATTATATATATGTAAAAAAATAAAAAAATAAAATAAAATACTGTTCCGGTTTTTCAAAGTAATCTTGCGTGCAGTGCACAGCATCGTACCGTTGTTGTTGCTATGGTTACCTGGCTCCTCACGCCAGCGCAGCGACTAACATTTGAAAAACGTTTTGACTTGTAATCTTGTAATCAATCCAGTTTAAAATCTAGCTTTTGTTTTCACTGATGCACTTGAAAAAACAATTGAAAAGAGTAGGCTATAAACTCGTGCGTAAAAAGAGTACGAGTCGCACTTTCATGTAGAATGGAATAGTACGATGTTAGTTTAACGAATCTTACAATAGAAGATGGAGCCAAATCAGCATTTTCACACAGATTTCTTTGATCTCCTAAAATCAGTCTCGCTTTAAATAAAGAAAAAGGTCGCGGTGAAGGGCGTCGAGCGCGAGAGATGATAAACACTGCAGAGGAAGAGATGCCCACTAAACATGAAAAAGGTAATGTTTCTTCTTTAATACGTGAAATGAGTTATAAACCTGACAGTTTATGACATTAATTTGATGCTGACATTACTTTGATATTCGGTTTTGGATTAAAAGAGAAAGGACAGCTGGAATTCTGGTATATTTGCGACCCTTAAAGGGATAGTTCACACAAAAATAAAAATAAAATCTCATCATTTACTCACCCTCAAGTTGTTCCAAACATGTATGAGTTTCTTTCTTCTGCTGAACACAAAAGAAGATATTTTTGAAAAATGTTGGCATCAAAAAGTTGATATTCCCCATTGACTTCAATAGTATTTTTCCATACTGTGGAAGTCAATGGTGTCTCACAGCTGTTTACTGACATCCCAAAATATCTTCTTTTGTGTTCAGCAGAAGAAAGACATTCATACAGGTTTGGAATAACTTTGAGGGTGAGTAAATTATGACAGAATTGTTCATTTTTGGGTAAACTATAAACTTTAATGTAATTTCTGTAATCCTGTTTCCAGATCTTTTTGATTATATTCTGAGATTATTTGGAACTTTTTCCGGTTTCATAATGTTCAGTTTACAGGCCAAATTAATAAACACAATCTAAATTTGGAAACCTGCTGAACATTACAAATATGTACTCTTTGTAGGACGTAATAACTCATTACATTGCAACCGTCCTCTCTCCCATCCAGCTATCAATTCACTTGGGAGAGGCGCAGTGGTTTAAGCCCAGCCAAGGAGGCATCCCATAAACCTTCAAAGGGTGTGTATATAGTTCATAATTTACATCTGAACATAATTGTATGGTTACACACACATGTTGGTTTCACTATATCAGTGAAGAAATCTCATAGAGGTGATGATGTCTGTTAAAACCAACCCTAGAATACATATTTCAAATAGTGAGAACTAGTCCTGTCAAATCGATTAATCGCAATTAATCACATCTAACATAAAAGTTTGTAAATATACAATATATATATATATATAGCTGTACTCTAAATTATCCAACCCCAATTGGCTTTATGCACAGCTTCACTACTTCCTGAACTTCAGCCAGCCCTTTGTTTCCTGTCTGTCATTATTGGACAAACTGATTAATCCAGGTGTGCCTGGCCTCAGTAACAATAATCAGGCACACCTGGATTAATCAGTTTGTCCAATAATGACAGACAGGAAACAAAGGGCTGGCTGAAGTTCAGGAAGTAGTGAAGCTGTGCATAAAGCCTATTGCAAATCAGGGGCTAATTTTTCACTGTATATTTACATAGCCAAACCTGTTCAAATCTGACAATTAGTCTGTTTCTACATCAACATCATGTTTTTATCCAAGTCAAAATATCACTGAATATATTAGAAAACGTCAACTAAAGACATTGTTAAGGGTCAGAACAGGCACACTGAAAAACATTTGGTGTAGAAACAATTTTTAGTCCGAAACTGCTTGTAAATTTCAGCCATAATTACAAAGAAACAGCAAGTTACACTGAATTAAACATGACATTTTAAAATTGAAATTTTCTTGTAAAACATGCTCGAATAATCATTGTTTTATTTTATTTATTTATATTTTGCAGCGTAGAAATAACTCATCATAAGGAAGCAACGGCACCTTTTAACAATGTGACACAATGTTACAATTGAAACGGTAATATCTAAAGCTTGGTTTTCAATCCACATCCAAAACATGTTCCAGGAAGTGTAATATGTGCATTTACATTATTCATGAAGCAGATGCCTTTATGCAAACGACACAGACAACAAGTGTCGAATCCTTCATCACAAGCTGCTCAAATTCAGTAAAGTACGCAAGTTCAAACACACAAGTGTATGAGTGTGTCTGAAAGGGCTCATTTAATCAACTCAGAGTCGACTCAGCAGCACACGAGAAGAAAAGCCTTTCTCTCTCTCATCTTTTTAAGTGTGAGGCGGGGTCTCTTCAGCTTTTTCCGTCCTTTCCTTTGATGCTGAATTGAACCTCCGCGCGAGCTGGGAGGGGGGGGGGGGGGGGGGGAGCTCAACAGGCCTTGGAAACATATCATTACCAATTTGTTTGCGACCGGGCAGCGCTGCTCCCTGGGAGTAAAATACAGCCTTGGTCTGGAGGCAGGAGGCAGGAGCCAGGGCTGGAAATAGCACGCGGAGCCAAGACGTGCATTTACTGTCTCTGGGAGCATGTGGAAGAGATTTTCCCCTGCCAGGTCTCCACCACAAGCATCACTATTAGAGCGCAGGGTGGAGACTGGGAAAACATGCCCCTCTCTGAACATGTAAGTTTGGGAGAGATTGTCAGAGGAGGAGTGTAGAGCTGCGGGAAACAACAGGCAAGTGATTCTGAATGAGGGAAATGTAGCTATAGGATAAACTCTTAGTTTGTTTTGATCTGTGATTTAGTTTTTTGTATTCGCATAATGTAGTTGTACAAGAGTTATTAGATATGATGATGGGTGTTTTGCTCTTGTTGCCGCACAGTGGATAAATGTTGCAGGTTTGTAATAAGAACTCATTTCCAATGCAATTACAATACAGCCTAAATTGATTTGGAGGAAATCGATGCCTTCGTGTTGAGTGATTCTCGCAATCCATCATTCTTCCTGCGGCTTTCCTGAAGCTCGGTTTGTTGTTTATAAATATTGTATGTCGTCGTAATGATGGTTTTTGAGATGCACTTTGGGGTGTGATGGAGCAGAGATGTTCTCGGACCTGAAAGCTTTCGGATAAATTGAAAAGGCCATTCCTGAAATGCTCTTGTTTCTGGGTTGAGAAGTCACAGCTGGACTCGAACATGAACACGGATACTTTTAGTCCGTGTGGCTTTTCTCTAGACAGCATTTTGCAGTTTCGGCTTTGAAATGATATGCTTTGCTTTTTTTGATTACAATGCGCACATAACAGAGGGTCCGATGTTTCATACAGTATAGATGAAAGATTTCTAGACTTACAGAAAAAGAAACAAAAGTATATTCAAATCAAACCATTCAAACAGTGCATTAACTTTGTGCCTGTACAAAATGAGAAAGTAAATAGCTAATCAGCTAATTAATTATATAATAAAACTGTTCCTATTTTGTGTGTGTGTGTGTGTGTGTGTGTGTTAATTTTTTAAACAGCATTTATTTAATCAAAAATACATAAAAAGAGTAAAAACATGAAATATTATTACAACTTAATGTAATTTATTCCTGGTCAAAAATAGCCTTTAAAAAAACTTTTAATGTTTCCTATATGTCTACAATGTACTTCATGTCCATTTAATGTACTTCTGTTTTCTTTTTTCAAAAGACTGTTCCTGCCACATCATTTGAGAGCTGAAAACAGAGGCCTTTCATTATCAGCGCAGAGGAGAGGTCCCTTCAGTGCCTTACAGGAAAGCGTCTTGGCAGGAAGTCAGTTTTTAGTGGGTAGTTGTGGGCACTCATGGCATCAGAAGACCACCAAGAAATCAAGGACCCCGCAGACACTTCCAGAACAGATGGAGCTCCATCCCCTGGCACATCTTGCCCCGTCCACAGCCACAATGCTGAAGACGCGAAGCGGAACAGCTTGAGGAAAGGACTGGTCAGACACCGAGACTATGTCAAAATTTCTGTGCCTGAAGGAAAGGTCAACCGATTGCCGTCAGAATGGTGGAAGACGTTCATCGCTTTGTTTTATGCCATTTTGAACCTGGTTTTGACCACGGTTATGATCACGGTGGTTCACGAGAGAGTGCCACCCAAGGAGAACAGCCCACCCCTGCCGGATAAGTTCTTTGACTATATAGACCGCGTGCAGTGGGCGTTTACCGTGACTGAGGTCAATGGAATGGTTCTGGTGTCTGTATGGTCCATTCAGTTGCTCTTTCACAGATACAAGTAAGAGGCGTCACTCAACATTATACTGATGATGACATTGTAGTCTATTGATCTGCTCTATTAGATTACTCTGGCTTGTAATGGTTTGTTAGGGTTGTGTTTAAGATGATGTAGAGCAGGGAGAATTAAATGTGAAACTTGAGGGCAGTTATGTAAATTAATATTGCATTGAGAAAATCAATTTCATAGATATCATAACCAAGCGCTTTCCACACAAATAGGAGTATAAAATAGGACTTGACACTCTTAAAAAAGTTTTTGTATGGTCAGTAGTAAAAGGACCTTAAAAAAAAGGTAACACTTTATTTTGATGGTCCACTTAAGATATTATACTCACTATAAGTAACTTTGCAACTACATGTCAACGAACACTCATTAGAGTATTAGTAGACTGTGAGTTTAATATCTGCTAACACTTTATTTTGATGCTCCCCAACAGACATTCTACTTGAACTTGGACTTTATTGTCATTATACATATGGTATATAAATTACGAGTGCCATTTTAAATTCTACTGACTATAAGTAACTTTTCAACTACATGTCAACTTATTCTACTAACCTGAACCCTAACCTAACAGCCTACTAATACTCTAATGAATCCTAGTTGACATGTAGTTGCAAAGTAACTTTTAGTTAGTAGAATGTCGAAATAAGGTGTAACCGAACTAAATAATATTTTTGTTCTATATACTTTACATGAGGTTTACCATTTTTAATGTCAACATAATTATATATGTGTGTGTGTGTAATTCGGTTAACACTTTAAATTCCTTAAATTAACATCTTAAATTTCCTAAAAATTAACATTCCCATAAAATCTTGATGAATTGTCATAATTATATTTTTAAAAATGGAATTTTCCAAATGAAAAATGGACGCATTTAGTTTTTAACGCCCATCCTGCCAAAAAGGGTCCAACTGATGTAAATAATTGGGTGACAATTTTATGGATGGTTCCATTTTTGAATGGGGGAAAGTCATGCAGTAGCACATATAAATATTACATTTAAAATCTACATCTATTCAATGATGACTTATTTTTTTCTGTTCCATTTAGGGCTATTGTAGGAAGACGATATTTCTTCCTTCTGGGCACATTGTACATGTATAGATGCATAACCATGTACGTCACCACTCTACCCGTGCCTGGCATGCACATGGTCTGCGCCCCGAAGGTAAACGGCAATTTAAAACGGTGTTCCTCACTCTCATGATCCCCTCAGGATCTTATACCTGGATATTATTAGAGAAGAAAAGGCATTTGGCTTCTTAAATCTGTAATATCCTCTGGCTTCCTCGAGACAAATATCACGGCCTTTACAAAGAGTTCAGACTATCAGTTTTCGGAATGACTTTTCATTTCAAGATTCATCTTGAAACATTCAGTATCTTCACTCATAATTTCCTTTCATTCAGCTCTACGGAGATTCGCAAGCGAAGCTGCAGCGTGTTCTGCAGTTGCTCTCTGGTGGTGGATTATCAATCACTGGTTCCCATCTGCTGTGTGGAGACTTCCTGTACAGCGGACACACTGTCATCCTCACGCTCACGTACCTCTTCCTCAAGGAGTGTATGTCACTTTCTCAGATGCCAGATTTGATTTTTGACACACAAATACAATGGCTGTTTGCTAATTACAGACCTAGATTCTGTTTTTAGCCAGTCAGAGGCACTTTCTGGCCATTCATTTCTGCATGTTCAGCATTCGCACAGCTGCGCGTTATGATTCATCGCTGATTCTTTCTCTCTTTTTTTTTTAGATTCTCCTCGTTCTTTCTGGTGGTACCATCTCATGTGTTGGTTAACGGCTGCTGTGGGAGTTGTGTGTATCCTGGTGGCTCATGAACACTACAGCGTGGACGTGGTGGTGGCATATTTCATCACCACACGACTGTTCTACTGGTATCACACTATGGCTAATCTGCAGGTAAATATATCAGTAATATGAAATAATAGGAATGCTTGAATTGGGCTTTTGTTATGTAAGAATTTTGGTTGTCTTCCTGTTATGTGTTTACCCTTAAAAGAGGAGATTTAGGGGTGTCACATGATATCAAAGGGATTAAAATAAGCATCAGATTATGTCAATCATATTTTTTGTTCATATTTTACACTAGCGTATACAAAAAGCGTGTTCAAAAGTTTGGGGCTTTTTAAAATGCTTTTTAAATAAGTCTCTTCTGCTCACCAAGGCTGCATTTATTCGATCAAAAATACAGTAAATTCAGTAATATTTTGCAATATTATTACAATTTAAAATAACTGTTTTCTATTTGAATATATTTTTAGAATGTAATTTATTTCTGTGATGCAAAGCTGAATTTTCAGCATCATTGCGCATTTATTTGAAATAGAAACTTTTTGTATAACAATATAAGTCTTCACTGACACTTTTGATCAATTCAATGCATCCTTGCTGAATAAAAGTGTTAAATTCTTTTAAAAAAAATCATAGACCCCAAACTTTCGAACTCAAAGCTGAAATGTAAGATAAAAGTCAATATTTGTATTTGTAAATATGCTTTTGTTGAAATTAGTTTTCGTTCAAATATATAGCTTGGTATGTTTTGTTTGGCATATTGTTTATTTCTTTGACCTTAGGTTTGACCTCCAGCCTCATGTAGACAACTACAAACCCAAAGTAGACAACTGAAACCAAAGGATGCTCGCAGATCAATTAGTGATTTAGATTCTGGAGGTCATTAAATCTAAGGCACCAAAATGGCACTAAGCCTTTTACTGAAAGTGTTTACATGACTCAGAGTTTACTGAGAATATCAAAATCCATTAGGCTGAGCATTTGAGAAATGACTCCCTGATGATGGTAAAGTGCAGCACATTCGATTTGAGCCAATGTCCATCTTTTACACAGGAAAAAAAATCCTTTTAAACTATCAAAACACATCACACGTGTTCATTCAGTTATAAGCTAAGTAGCCTACGTTATCAAAACTGTCATATCTCTGAAATTATATTTGTGGTGGTTATAGCCAGAAGAATCATCAATGAATGAATGTAAATGCGGTGAGAGGTTTATGCAAATGTCATTTGTTGGATCCTGACAGGAGAGATCTCAAACACAATCACGTGTGTGTGTCCTGATGTTGATTTAGGGCTTCTGTCCTTTAATGATAACTTTGATTTTCATGGAATTGCTTTGGATCTAAAACATGTGAAAGCTTTTTTCTGCCACAGAATATAAAAATAAAATACATCTTTTAGCAATTATGAGTTTTTATCTCACAAATCGGACTTTATTTCTCACAATTCTGAGTTAATAACTCGCAGTTCTGACTTTTTCCTAGCAATTCTTGACTTTTTTCTCAGAGTTCTGAGTTTATAACTCACAATTGTGACCTTTTCTCACAACTCTTACTTTATTTCTTGCAATTCTGAGTTTAAAACTCGCAATTTTGAATTTCAAATTCGCAATTCTGACTTTTTCCTCGCAAATCTGAGCTTATAACTTCCAAATCTAACTTTTTTCTTGAAATTCTGAGTTTATAACTCGCAATTCTGACTTTATTTTCACAATTTTTATTATAATTCTGACTTTCCTCGTAATTCTAAGTTTGTAACTCGCAATTCTGACTTTATTCTCACAATTCTGTTTATAATTTGCAATTCTCACTTTTTCCTCACAATTCTGAATTTATGACTCGCAATTCCGACTTTTTCCTCGCAATTCTGAGTTTATAACTCACAAATCAAATTTTTTTCTTGAAATTCTGTTTATAATTCGCAATTCTGACTTTTTCCTCACAATTCTGAGTTTATGACTCGCAATTCTGACTTTTTTATTGAAATTATGACTTTTTTCTTGAAATTCTGAGTTTATAACTCGCAGTTCTGACTTTTTCCTAGCAATTCTTGACTTTTTTCTCAGAGTTCTGAGTTTATAACTCACAATTGTGACCTTTTCTCCCAACTCTTACTTTATTTCTTGCAATTCTGAGTTTAAAACTCGCAATTTTGAATTTCAAATTCGCAATTCTGACTTTTTCCTCGCAAATCTGAGCTTATAACTTGCAAATCTAACTTTTTTCTTGAAATTATGACTTTTTTCTTGAAATTCTGAGTTTATAACTCGCAATTCTGACTTTATTTTCACAATTTTTATTATAATTCTGACTTTCCTCGTAATTCTAAGTTTGTAACTCGCAATTCTGACTTTATTCTCACAATTCTGTTTATAATTCGCAATTCTCACTTTTTCCTCGCAATTCTGAATTTATGACTCGCAATTCCGACTTTTTCCTCGCAATTCTGAGTTTATAACTCACAAATCAAATTTTTTTCTTGAAATTCTGTTTATAATTCGCAATTCTGACTTTTTCCTCACAATTCTGAGTTTATGACTCGCAATTCTGACTTTTTTATTGAAATTATGACTTTTTTCTTGAAATTCTGAGTTTATAACTCGCAATTCTGAATTTATTTTCACAATTTTGATTATAATTCTGACTTTCCTCGCAATTCTGAGTTTATAACTCGCAATTCTGACTTTATTCTCACAATTCTGTTTATAATTCGCAATTCCGACTTTTTCCTCCCAATTCTGAGTTTATAACTCACAAATCAATTTTTTCTTGAAATTCAGATTTTTTTCTTGAAATTCTGTTTATAATTCGCAATTCTGACTTTTTCCTCACAATTCTGAGTTTATGACTCGCAATTCTGTCTTTTTTTTATTCTGAGTTTATAACTCACAATTCTGACTTTATTCTCACAATTCTTTTTATAATTAGCAATTCTGACTTTTACCTCACAATTCTGGCTTTTTCCTAACAATTCTGAGTTTATAACTCACAATTGTGACCTTTTCTCGCAACTCTTACTTTATTTCTTTCTTTAGTTTAAAACTCGCAATTTTGAATTTCAAATTCGCAATTCTGACTTTTTCCTCGCAAATCTGAGTTTATAACTCGCAAATCTAACTTTTTTCTTGAAATTTTGTTTATAATTTGCAATTCTGACTTTTTCCTCGCAATTCTGAGTTTATGACTCGCAATTCTGACTTTTTCCTCACAATTCTGAATTTATAACTCGCAAATCTAAATTTGTCTTGAAATTCTGAGTTTATAACTCACAATTCTGACTTTATTCTCACAATTCTTTTTATAATTAGCAATTGTGACTTTTTCCTCACAATTCAGAGTTTATGACTCGCAATTCTGACTTTATTCTCACAATTCTTTTTATAATTAGCAATTGTGACTTTTTCCTCACAATTCTGAGTTTGACTCGCAATTCTGGCTTTTTCCTCACAATTCTGAGTTTATAACTCACAATTCTGGCTTTTTCCTCACAATTCTGAGTTTATAACTTGCAATTCTAACATTTTCCTCGCAATTCTGAGTTCATGAGATAAAAAGTTGCAATTACCTTCTTTTTTTGTGGTGGAAACAAGCTTTCACAAAAAAATTACATCACAATGCAACCAACCAACTTTACCCAAACTGCTTTTTTTCATGAAAATGAAATCCTTTAAATTTAAATTAGTTATTTTATCCTTGACATTACTTTTGATTTTAGAAAAAATTAACATGCATAAAAATTTTCTTTCTGTTGTTTCTAATATTTGTATATATTCCTTAGTATGACATTAATTATTATAATAGAAATAATATTTTCCTGTTTTCCCCAGACTTTAAAGTGTTCTCCGAACAACTACCTCACTCACACCTGGTGGAACCCCGTGTTTAACTTCTTCGAGAGGAACATCCAGACCCAAGTGCCCTGTTCTTTCTGCTGGCCGATCACATGGCCCCCTGCCTGCCTGAAGAACCCCTGTAAGAAATATTCCATGGTGCAGAGCAGCCGAGAGGAGTGATGTGATTCATCACAACGCTTCGACCGCCACGTGGAAATGTTTTGTTTTTGGCTTGTGGCTATCTCAGTGTTTACACCATACCAAAGACCAAAGACTGTTCGGCTGTTGTTTATAATTACATCTCATTTAACAAGAGCCAAACAGTTCATGATGACCAAAAATTGTAAACCTCAATAATCTTTGAAAAGTCATTGTTGACTTTTTTTTTTCCTTTTTTTTTTACATTTATTTATATTCCTTCATTGTGGCCATTTAAAGAAGCACTTTTGTAAGTATTTTAAATGGCCTACTGGACATGTTATGGTTGTAAAATGGTGTATTTTTGGAAAATCTCTATCAAAACAAATCTATCTGTTTGTGCATGCTTCTTAGTAGTCATATTTTCCTCTTGGTTTTTTTTTCGCCTTGTATTTAATTGTTATTTAAAACATGTTTGTCATAATGTTGACAAACATGTTTATCAGTTTAAACTGGGTTTTATTATTTTATACACTATTTTATATTACAAATGCATGCATTCAATTTTATTTTAGTTCATTGTATGCTTATATATTATAAAATATATTTTCTATGTCTTAAAAACAAAGACGTTTTATGAAAATAAATGGTCTACATTAACACCTGGTGTACTTCTTGTTGCATAAAATTCTCAAATATCTCTTTCAAAATTGCATTGAGGAAGCAAATTGGGATGCTACAACCTGTAAATATAATTACATGTCTTTTAATTTTTAATTTAAGTGTTACTGTTATTGTAGAGGCTCTAAAGAAAGATGTTTATTATATTAAAATACATCGTTTAGAAAACTGACTCCTTATATATATATTTATATTGATATATATATATTATTTTCCTTGACTAAAGAAGTGAAACCCCATGATAAGACCATCATCTCTTGTGAAACTTCTCAGTCTGCTTCCTCTATTGGATAGTGACCTCAGTTGAACCCGCCCATTCGTCTCGATTCACCAATCAGCTCTCAGCGTGCTCCTCTCATCCAATGGGAAATACAAAAACACGCAACCCATGCTGCAGCTCCAAGACCACAGTCAGGAAGAAAATGTGTTTGATCAGCAGATAAGTATTGATCTGGAGGAACTATGCGTCTGTTTTAGGAGTCAGTGGATCTGCAAAGCGAGCGAGTCATGGACGCTTCCCCGGGTCTGCTGTGGCAGTATGTGTTCTCGCCCGCAAACCTTGTGGGTTTAACTGCGTTTGTGATTGTTTTCTATGTGCTGCAACAGTACCAGAATCATCACAGATACGCGAACATCCCTCCCGGTCCAAAGCCATGGCCCATCGTGGGCAACTTCGGGGGCTTCTTAGTGCCTTCATTTATTTTTAAACGATTTGCAAAGAATCGCGAAGAGTTTGCAAAGACGGCCTCAAATCCGCTATCACCCCAGGCTGGACTTACCGAGATGTCCAAACTGTATGGAAACATATTCAGCATTTTTGTTGGGCCTCAGCTCATGGTCGTGCTGACGGGATATGACGCTGTCCGGGACGCGATGTTAAACTATCCGGAGGTGTTCTCCGACAGACCACATATACCGCTCGTTACTATTATCACCAAGAGGAAAGGTAAGATAACCTGTCGTAGTTAATGATTGCTGCATGCCATGATAATAGATTAGAGCAGAACACAATAGAGTAGAATAGAATAGAAAGTAGAAAAGGCTGACTCAGAATTGAGCAGAACAAAAAACAGTGCAGAATAGAATAGAGCAGAGTATGATAGACTACAGCAGAATAGAATGATTTATAATTTAACAGAATAGAACAGTAGAAGGGACAGACAGAATAGAAAAGAACAGAATAAAACAGGGCAGAATAGAATAGAATAGAACCGAGTATAATAGACCAGAGCAGAATAGAATCATTTAGAATTGAACAGAATAGAGAAGTAGAAGAGACTGACCAATAATAGAATAGAGCAGAATTGAACAGAATAGAATGATAGAATAGAACATAATGATATAATTCTGCAAAACAGAATAGAACTGAACAGGACAAGCGCGACATGAACAACATAGAACAATAAAGTAGAATAGAATTATACAAAACAGAATACGGTCACAACATAATAGAACAGAACAGAATAGTTACAAATAGCAGAATAGAATAGAACAAAGAAGAAAATATAATTTCTGGGCCAGAATAGAATAGATCAGTTGAGTAGACTGGAGCAGAATAGAACATAATGATATAATTCTGTAAAACATAATAGAACTGAACAAGACAAGCGAGAAATGAACAACATAAAACAATAAAGTAAACAAAACAGAATAGGTCACAATACAATAGAACAGAACAGAAAAAATAGCAGAATGGAATAGAACAAAGAGGAAGAAAATATCATTTCCGGGCTTGAATAGAATTGATCAGTAGAGTAGACTGGAGCAGAGTAGAACTGAACAGGACAAGCGAGAAATGAACAACATAAAACAATAAAGTAGAATAGAATTATACAAAACAGAATAGGTCACAATAGAATAGAACAGAACAGAATATGAACAAATAGCAGAATAGAACAAAGAAGAAGAAAATATCAAATCCGGGGCTGAATAGAATAGATCTGTAGAGTACACTGGAGCAGAATAGAACATAATGATATAATTCTGTAAAACATACTAGAACTGAACAAGACAAGTCGAGAAATATACAACATAAAACAATAAAGTAGAATAGAATTATACAAAACAGAATAGGTCACAATAGAATAGAACAGAACAGAATAGGAACAAATAGCAGAATAGAATAGAACAAAGAGGAAGAAAATTTTATTTCCGGGCTTGAATAGAATTGATCAGTAGAGTAGACTGGAGCAGAGTAGAACTGAACAGGACAAGCGAGAAATGAACAACATAAAACAATAAAGTAGAATAGAATTATACAAAACAGATTAGGTCACAATAGAATAGAACGGAACAGAATATGAACAAATAGCAGAATAGAATAGAACAAAGAAGAAGAAGAAAATATAAAATCTGGGCCTGAATAGAATAGATCTGTAGAGTAGACTGGAGCAGAATAGAACATAATGATATAATTCTGTAAAACATAATAGAACTGAACAAGACAAGTCGAGAAATATACAACATAAAACAATAAAGTAGAATAGAATTATACAAAACAGAATAGGTCACAATAGAATAGAACAGAACAGAATAGGAACAAATAGCAGAATAGAATAGAACAAAGAGGAAGAAAATTTTATTTCCGGGCTTGAATAGAATTGATCAGTAGAGTAGACTGGAGCAGAGTAGAACTGAACAGGACAAGCGAGAAATGAACAACATAAAACAATAAAGTAGAATAGAATTATACAAAACAGATTAGGTCACAATAGAATAGAACGGAACAGAATATGAACAAATAGCAGAATAGAATAGAACAAAGAAGAAGAAGAAAATATAAAATCTGGGCCTGAATAGAATAGATCTGTAGAGTAGACTGGAGCAGAATAGAACATAATGATATAATTCTGTAAAACATAATAGAACTGAACAAGACAATAAATAAAGTAGAATAGAATTAAACAAAACAGAATAGGTCACAGTAGAATAGAATGGAACAGAACAGAATAGGAAAAAATAGCAGAATAGAATAAAACAAAGACCCTGTGCCTGGTTTCAGAAATCCAATTCAATGTACTTTATATAATACCAAATACTGGTCACCATATTGGGGATCATAAAATAATTTTTTAAAGAATTGTAAAGATTTTATCAAAGTTCCTAAAAAACAACCAATAGCGTTTCGATATGAAAAAGCAAAGCGTTGTGTGTCTGAAGTGGATGTCGTCCGCAGGGATTGTGTTTGCACCCTATGGCCCGCTGTGGCGGACGAACCGGAAGTTCTGTCACAGTTCTCTGCGCAGCTTTGGCTTCGGGAAGCTGAGTCTGGAGCCGTGCATCACTGAAGGCCTGACCATGATCAAAACAGAACTGCAGGACCTCATGGAGAACACGGGGCCGTCAGGAATGGACCTCACTCCTCTCATCAGCAATGCGGTCTCCAACGTCATCTCCTCCCTAACTCTGGGCCAGCGTTTCCATCACCAGGACCAGGAGTTCCGGACCATGCTGGATCTCATGTCTCACGGGCTGGAGATCAGCGTCAACACCTCCATCCTGCTGATCAACGTGTTCCCCTGGCTCTACTACCTGCCCTGGGGCGTTTTCAAGGAGCTGCGGCGCGCCGAGGTCGACATCACCGCCTTCCTGAAGAAAATCATAGCGAGGCACAGGGCTACGCTGGATCCGGACAATCCCAGGGATTTCATAGATATGTATCTGGTGGAGATGCTGGCCAAGCAAAAGGAAGAGAGTTCAGAAGAGTGTCTGTTCTCAGAAGACGATCTCTTCTACATCATCGGGGACCTCTTCATCGCAGGCACTGACACTACCACGAATAGCGTCCTGTGGAGTATTCTCTACATGGCCTTGCATCCTGACGTGCAAGGTAAAGGTGATGTCATTTACTAACATCTGAAGGTTTGGCTGATGATACACGAGCTCTTTGTTTGATGACCCTCTCAGAGAGAGTTCAGCAGGAGATTGATGGCGTGGTGGGGTCCGAGAGAGTCCCGTCTCTGACCGATAAGGGCAGTTTGCCGTACACAGAAGCCACCATTATGGAGGTGCAGAGGATGACTGTAGTGGTTCCTCTGTCGATACCCCACATGGCCTCCGAAACCACGGGTGAGTTTTGGTCTTTGGCGGAAAAATACAGAAAGTGAGGCAAATCTGAGTGCCTTGATTATATTTCATCCCGAAACCAAAAAGAGAGAAATATGAAATTAGATCCTGCGTTAAGAAAATTAAGCTGATTTTTAGCGGCAGAAAAATTATACACAACACCAAGAATGATTGGCTATTGCCGTAATGCAAAACAAATGATAAAAATAATAAGCATCATTACCCTATTGCAAAAACAATATTTAGTGATACATTACTCATGTAGAACTTGCTATTGCTATTATTCATATTTTGTTCACATTTTTTCATTTACATAGACTCAAAAGTTATATATATATAAAGAGTTTGGTTCCAAAACGCGATAAACGCCATTTCTAAAAAAAAATTAGTTACTACAAAAATCAGTATTGTATCTGGTTGGTATTGAAAAGTCAATGTAAAATGCGATATCCGCCGTGTTATTCTGTCATGTTTTCTCCCTCTCTTTCCAAACCGCGACAAACGCCAGTCTCCCTTCTCTGCAGAATGCGGTCTATCCGCTCTCAACCAATCACAACGCACCATTCCACGCAATGTAAACAGTAACGGCAGCGCCTTAAATACACCCGGCTTCCTAGTTTTTCTTGTCTATTTTGTACTTTTCGATCAACAAACAAACAAAAAAATGAATAATTTTGACGGCATTGATGAACCTGTGGTTGTTTCTGCGGTGGGTTAGAAACGTAAGGCATCGAAATCGAAACATTTACGTGAGGAGATTAAGAAGATGAGGAACTCGGGAGAAGGAAAAATGTTTTCAATCTTCTTTACAGTTCTTAATAAAAATATTCTACTAATAAACTTGCGTTGTTGTGTATTTTCAATAGTTTCAATATGAAAAAAAAAAACTTTTATATTGATTCAATGGATTAATTGCATTTAGATTTTTTTTTTTTTTAATGGATTTATTGCATTTTGGGGGGGAAAATAATCCGTTTTTAGAATAAGTCTTTGAAAATCAAAACCTGGATTTTTAAAAAAAAAATGTTATTATGACCTACAAATGCTATGTGAAAGTTTGAAACAGAAAATAGTGGTTTTCATCTTTCCACTTTCTTGGTAAAGAAAACACACTTTTACTCAAATTAATCTAAATGGATTTATTGCGTTTTGGAACCAAACTCTTCATATATATATATATATATATATATATATATATATATATACACACACACACACACACACACACACACACACATATATATATATATATATATGTTTCTTTTATCATTTGATATGAGGTGAAATGTGATATTTTCAATATTTTATATTCAGTGCCCAGCTGAAAGTATTTGGACTTTTGTTTTTCTGTGTTGTCTTTTGTATATGTTTGTCTAAAGTAAATTATTAATGAATAAAACTAAATCAGGTCAACTAGAACTCTGCCATAATCCACAAGTTTGATAATAGTCAACCTTAACCTTTTAAAATCTGTATTTTTTATATATATCAAATCCAAGGATTGTACAAATATTATCACTGTACAAATACTTTCAGAAGATACATAAAAAGTTAAAATGTTTTTTAAAATTGTTTAAATGAATTTTTCAGCTAAATTTGTCTCTTCCCACTAGAGTTCCGAGGGTACACTATTCCTAAAGGAACAGTTATCATCCCAAACCTCTGGTCAGTACACAGGGATCCTACTGTGTGGGAAAATCCCGATGACTTCAATCCAGCCCGATTTCTGGATGAACAGGGCAAGCTCCTCAGGAAAGAGTGTTTTATTCCATTTGGAATAGGTATGTTTTCGAATGACATAACTCATCTTTGATCACCAAAATGACATTTAAACGTTTTTTCCTTGAAAAAAATGTCTTCATGCCTTAAAATAGCTTGAATGTAACTCTACACCTGTGCCTCATTTAGTATACGCGGTTCTATAAATATGCAAATGAGCCCCGCCTCCACTCACTCACTCCAGCTCAGAGATCCACTCGTTGACGATCACACGTTGATCTGATTGGTTACAAGGTAGTGTGTGACGTCAGAAACACCAGCGATTTCAAACCGCGTTTTTGAGACGGTCTTTGGTTCACTGCAGTTTTAAAGAGAAAATGAAGTAATTTTCAAAAAAAAAAAAATGTATACAAGATTCAACTATTTTTATGTCAGTTTAATGTAATTTAAGTTCAAACGACTTAAACATCCAAGTTGATTGTACTTAAAAAATTAAAGTAGCAACTTTTTTTGTACAGTGTATTCTCTTGAGTCGGTACTTATTTTGAATAAGTAATTACTTCACGACTGCTAAAAAAGTGTGTTCTATATAGTATGAATGTGATCCTGACGTACTACATTCGCCATGTTGTCATTATCATGTGACCTACCAGCTCTGGGAAAGGAGGGGTTTAGAGAGACCGAATCTTTATCAAACCGTTCCAGACACTGAGAAAAGAGATGATGCTGCAATGTATATTATGAGAAAAATTAAAGTGATTTCTTTCTTTTTTTTTACCTTGGATGCATGTGAAACTATTGTTAGAGACCAAAACAAAATTAGGACTCTTTAAAATAGCATAATAAGAGCACTTAAAGGGGACATTATTTGCAACAAAAAACTGAAAAAAAAATTTATATGCGTTTTGGCCATTCATTTAATTGACAAAGCATTTTGGGGGCTTGGAAATACAAACTTTTGAAACCGGTTTCAAAGTGCACGTTTTTGAAACCGATACCGTTATTGTCTCAGTATAAACGTCAAAAACACGAATTTGTGAAAACGGTGACGTCTTGCTAATGCATATTATGTGTTCAGTTAGATGAGACCTCAAAGCTGTTGCACACAGCCACAGCCAACACAACTCTTCTCTTCTTCTTTCTTTTATTGGCAACCGCACTAAACAGTGCATTACTGCCAAGTCTGATGATGGTTGCAGTTTAAATCATAGATATCCATAATAAAGGCTAGATGTGTCGTCCGCGCTGCTGGCCAATGGAGGTCGACGTCCGCACCTGGCGGCCATCTTGTCACAGGCAGCTCGCTCACTCGTAACATTGTGTTTTAATGCATGTACTTTTTAAATAACCATAACTTGCTCAATTTTCTACCGATTTTCAAACGGTTTGGTTTGTTATAAACGTCAGAGATGTAGTTATGACACTGCAAACTTACGAATAATAAGTGTATCAATAAATAATCATCCAGAATTATAGCCACGTTAATAACGTTTGTAAGAAACCAAACCGTTTGTAAATCCGTCAAGATTTCAACGAGATAAGAGTATTTGTGTTTGTGCTGATCACTCATCTTACGTACCACAGAGATCGCCAGAAAGCTTGCCTGTGACAAGATGGCCGCTGGCAGGGGCGTAGCAGCCATTATAAAAGTGGGGGGGACAAAATGGTGTGGTGATGTGACCCAAAGGTCAGTCCTTCCAGAAAAATGCGGAGTTTTTTTGTGATTGTTGATTGTTGAAATCCTTGATTATGCGACGATGGAATATGCAGGATATTTGCAATTTTATGTGATGAAATTGCGGGAACTTGCAAAAACTGCGGTTTGATGAAAAAGAGAGAAAAAGTGATTCCCCAACACCCTGTTCTCACTAGGCTACTACCTTAATGTAAAGAGCTATTTCTTATTACTTCCTATGATAAGCAAACATACTACATCACAGAAAGTGCTGGAATATTTAATCTTGTTTTATTTCAGACCTTAATAAATACATGGCTCAAACTTACAAAATATTGATGAGTCAAACAAGTTCTGTAGCTTTACAAAAGGAATATGCTACAACTTCTGTAAAAATGAATAAAGAAAATATGAAACAAATGTTTCCGGTTTTACAGCTTTTCAATGATGTTCATGTCGAGTAATTACGTCACTTCATAACGTTCCCATGGCAACAGGGGGAAACGGCTGCTCTCGTGTGAAGCAAACGCAACATTTTTCAACTTTCTGCTAAGATTTATGTGACTTTTTTTGCAACAAAAATGCGGGGATTATGAAATCATACAAGCCCCGCATATTTTGCGTGGAAATCGGCAATTTATACGGCAAAAGTGCGGTGTATTTGAAAAAATGCCCCCGCATAAATATGCGGACTTTGGCTGATTATGCATTGAATCATGCGATCGCATAATCGTGTTTTTCTGGAGGGACTGAAAGGTGATGTTCATAATAATAAATTCTAGATGGAATAGCAATTGGCATTTTACAGCACCCTAGTGCCAATTTTGGGAACATGCCATGATAGTTTACAGCAACCTATTTTTGTGAAATCATACTCGAAATAAAAAAATATTGCAGGACTTGGGACTTTCAGACAACTGTGGACATCTATACTTTATTTTTTATGAAATAAAGATATTTTATGATATTTACAATATTTCAGTTAAACTACACTTGAACAATAACTTTTATCTTACTAACAGTTGGACCAAAAAAAGTGTTCAATGAGTACAGAACAGATTACATCTAGCCTACAGTAATTTTATACAACAGACATTTTATAAAAATATATCAATAAAACCTAAATCAATGTATTCGGTATTGGACATCAATTTAACATTGACATTAGATGTTGAATTTACATTGAATTTTGGTCACCCGACGTCGCAACCAAAATTTAACCCCCCGTCCCCCCCGGTTGCTACGCCCCTGGCCGCCGGTGATGACGATAGAGACTCCGCCGTAAGACATCTAGACTTTATTATGGATATCTATGGTTTAAATACTCTCCTTCCCCTCCCATCATCCAATCACAGCAGGGCATTGATTATTGGCATCAGGTGGAAACGATTTCTCCTACGGAGAGAGAGAGAGAGAGAGAGAGAGAGAGAGAGAGAGAGAGAGAGAGAGAGAGAGAGAGAGAGAGAGAGAGAGAGAGAGAGAGAGAGAGAGAGAGAGAGAGAGAGAAACAGAGCACAACATTGTTGTTTTCGTGGTTCACATTTTGACAACGCTGTCGTCTGTACGCGAAAATTGCAAAGGAAAAAAACGTTGTCGTGTAAACGTACCCTAAGTTACCAACTGCTCTTATAATGAGGACTATGTTTAAACGAGTGGTTTCTGTATGCCTCAGGTCGCAGGGTGTGCATGGGAGAGCAGCTGGCTAAGATGGAGATGTTTCTGATGTTCACCAGCCTAATGCAGGCCTTCACATTCAGGCTTCCCGAGGGGAAATCTGCTCCCTCCATGCATGGACGCTTTGGCCTGACTCTGGCTCCGTGCCCGTTTACTGTCTGTGTTAAAGCACGCTGAACAGGCATCATTGGGAAGCAAATTGCACTGGTGGACCATGTTGACCAGGCTACTAAGTAAGGGCTTTGAAGTTGTATGATGAAGCAAAAGGTTTGATATTATTTTTGTAAAAATTGCCTGAACAATTTCAAGAAATGAGAACAAATACCTAAGTATATTGCATTTGTTTTTAAATATTCATTTCATAATTTAATCAAACTGAACGGCATTTTTAAATTATTTTTCAAAATGGTTACTGTACTACAAGACTGTTATTTTTTTTTATTTTTTTTTGTTGAAAATTATTTAAAACATTTTATTTCATGGTTCAATGTTATAGTAAAAACATTAATGCGTGTTCAACTATAGGCCAGAAAATAGGTCTTTAGAATTTGTTTTTTAATTCTAATTTCTAATTTATTTAATTTGTCGACTAAGAATGGACCTCTTTCTAAAAGTCATAAACATTTCCAGGAGAGAGTAATTTCCACCACATCTTAGAGATGATGTATCGGCTTTGATGTGTGGTGGAAATTATACCTTTTTTTGGAATAAAATGACCAGCCTTGTCTTGCTACGGCTAATTTCAGAGCTAATTGCACGTCTTATATATAAACAGTATTTTCACACTTTTTATATAACGTGATAAAAATACTGATTGATTGGAAATGATGCACAATAAAATATTCCGCTGAAAAGCAACATTTGCCTTGATTTGTCATTGCTTTCTTCACACATCATGTGTATTTCATCACTGACTGACACTGTTGCCTCCTTGGTAAACAACTGCACTATTTATTTATTTTTTTTAAAGGTAAAAATGTTGGTGTTTATTAACTTTAAACACATTGTCAAAGAGTTTTATAGTTGACAGCAAATCAAAAGGTCATACTACTCCATGTTATATCCTCCTGAGACCCAGAAAAAAAGTTTTGAATTTAGTATTTTTTCATGTCATCACATTGTTTAGAGCAAGAAACAAATGGTAAAAAAGAAAAAAATATTTGAAAAATGATATTTTATTCATATTATGCTATGTCCTCTGTAGTGGACACCAGGATTCAGTTGTTTAAAAAATAAAATGACATGAAATTACACGTATAGGTAAAAACAATGGGACTTTTTTTACATTCACTAATACATTTTTGGGTTTCAGGATTTTTTAACCAAAAATTTCTATAAAAATGATTCTCAACTGTTATGAAAGATATGACGGAATTAATTGATACACCATTTGACTTTATGCACAACGTGGGTAAAATGGCCATAAATGAATATTCCCATTCAATACAATGTATCTATACACTGTATCTAATTTCCATATTAATGTATTCTTGGGGCAACATGTAATGAAACATTTTAATAATAATATCTAATATTTCATAGGAATATTGATATATTAATTTTTTCCCCTATTCACTTGTGTTTCCCAAAATGCCTGATAGTATGAAACCAATGCCCTGTTCTGTAACAGAAAGTCATGTTTAGATTTGAAACCTCATAACGTTTTCCTGAGATGTTGGTTTATAAAATACAATTTGAAAAGTAGACCGATTTAAATTATAATTACAATATATTATCGTATGTCCATTAGAGTGCTACATTTTATCACTAAATTAATGTATGTCCTTTTTTAAAGACCAAGGAGAAGTTGTTTTCATGGTGAAACCTCCAAACATGTGGCATCTCTGAAAATCCCTGAATGTGCTCTTTACAGGACATCCAGATTCCAGACTAAAACTGTGGCATGTATGGTGTCAGAGAAATTCACTAAAATATAATGTCCACTACAGTGGACAAAAGTCTATGGGATAGGATATCTTTAGGATATGTGAAAAAAAAAAGCCATTGCATGAGGAGGAAACCACGTGATCAGTTCAACTTTGCTTCAGTTCTCGAGCACGCGCTGAGGCGCTTGTGCACGCGCAGTCTGTCATTATCGAAACAGCGGCCATGGCATTCATCACGCGCCAGTACATCAGGAGCCTCTCGTCTTCTGCAGCACTACATGCTATTAAACATGTCACAGTTATCGGAGGAGGACTGATGGGTGCTGGCATTGCACAGGTAACGACAGAGAAATATCACCGCATTCATTTGCAAAGAGTTAGAGTTGCCATTCAGGCTACAAGCTAAGTGCTATCACACAGTTAATAAAGAAGATTATTCTTTATAGTTTCAAGCTGCATGTAGTTGTATTGCGGTAATCAGGATGGGTATCAATAAATCGTGGCCAATTTGTTGCAAACTTCTCCCACCATGTTGCGACTGCCTCTACTTTCAGAGTGACCTTTCACCCACTTCTGCATATAGTTAAGGTTAATGCTTAATGTATTCCTTCCTATCGATTTTGTTTATAGCATATGTGTGTGTGTGTGTGTGTGTGTGTGTGTGTGTGTGTGTGTGTGTGTGTGTGTGTGTGTGTGTGTGTTCATAAGCATATTGAAATTGTTTGAAATAAATGGCTTAAAGGGATAGGTCACCCTAAATGTAAAATTCTGTCATTATTTACTCACCCTCAAGTCCTTCTAAACCTGTATGACTTCGTTATTGTCAGTAACCCATGACCTCCATTGTGTAGGCTGCGTCCGAGATCGCATACTCTCTTGAGTCTGTACTTATTTTAAATTAGTAATTATTTATGACCGCTAAAAAAAAGTATGTTCTATATTAGGGGTGTTATTAATTTAATCGATTAAACTTAACGATCATCGATCATGCGCGTGTCGCAATTACCTTTTTTTATTATTCCGTGGTGGAAAAAAAAATGCTTCCATAGACGTGTGGGTGAGTAAATTATGAGATAGGCTAGTTGTTTATTTTTAGGTGAACTATTCCTTTAATTTTCAGTGTTTCCTAATTAAACTGAACACTGAATGCATTTTAAATTAGCCATCAACTTCACACCTTTTTTCCAAAATATGAATCTCCAAAACGCGTTCACAAGAGCACCACGACGCATGTGTTGTGTTGACACCAGAGCAGACGTGAATGTGCGTTGGAGATTAATATTTTGGCAATAAAATGATAACATGGGTGTTTTTTTTGTTGTTGTTTTTTCATAAATGAAGCACTTGCGCTGCTCCATAAAATTAAGGTGAAACCACTGGAGTCGCATGGATTACTTTAATGATATCTTCTTTACTACCTTTCTGGGGCTTGAAAGTGGTAGTTGCGTAGACTGTCAATGGAGGGACAGAAAGCTCTCAGATTTCATTAAAAAGGTCTTCATTTGTGTTCTGAAGATGAATGAAAGTCTTACGGGTTTTGAACAACGTGATGACAGAATTTTCATTTTTGGGTGAACTATCCCTTTAATGTTTCAGGTTGCTGCATCCACAGGACATTCAGTGGTGTTAGTGGACACGTCTGAGGACATACTGAAGAAGTCTGCAAAGGGCATTGAGGCTAGTCTGAAGAGAGTGGCGAAGAAGAAGTTTGCAGAAAAACCTGAGGTTAGTTTGACAGCACCGACATGAACTAAAGTCCCAAAGTTGTTGATTTCATGTGGGGTTTAATGGCTGATGTTGCTCTATCGTTCATTAAATCATGGAAAGATAACTGTGGCTCACGTTCTCTAGGATGGAGAAGCATTCGTTCAGAAAGTCCTGAAGAACGTCTCTACAAGCTCAGATGCTGCGTCTGTAGTTCAGGGCACTGATCTTGTGGTGGAGGCTATTGTGGAAAACCTCAAAGTCAAACAAGATCTGTTTGGAGCTCTGGACAAAGTGGCCCCAGAGTAAGAAAAACTCATTTTTCAATTTCTCAGGAAACAATATAGGGTACAACCAACAGAGCTAAAGGTCCAACGGGGTTGTAACCAATAAACTCACTGCAGCATTTTCACTCTGCACAGAAATTTAGATGATCTTTAATGCAATCGTAGGCAGCAACACAATCAATTCTGCGCTAAGTTGATCCATTTTCATTTTATTTTATGGATTTATGTAGCAAATGAGAATAGTTTTGAGACTGATATTTTGATACAAAACAATATTTTTGTTCAAGGTAATTAAATCAACAGTTTTGCAATATCTGACGAATATGGAAAATATACACTCACCGGCCACTTTATTAGGTACCCCATGCTAGTAACGGGTTGGACCCCCTTTTGCCTTCAGTACTGCCTCAATTCGTCGTGGCATAGATTCAACAAGGTGCTGGAAGCATTCCTCAGGGAGTTTGGTCCATATTGACATGATGGCATCACACAGTTGCCGCAGATTTGTCGGCTGCACATCCATGATGCGAATCTCCCGTTCCACCACATCCCAAAGATGCTCTATTGGGTTGAGATCTGGTGACTGTGGAGGCCATTTTAGTACAGTGAACTCATTGTCATGTTCAAGAAACCAATTTGAAATGATTAGAGCTTTGTGACATGGTGGAAGTAACCATCAGAGGATGGGTACATGGTGGCCATAAAGGGATGGACATGGTCAGAAACAATGCTCAGGTAGGCCGTGGCATTTAAACGATGCCCAATTGGCACTAAGGGGCCTAAAGTGTGCCAGGAAAACATCCCCCACACCATTACACCACCACCACCAGCCTGCACAGTGGTAACAAGGCATGATGGTTCCATGTTCTCATTCTGTTTACGCCAAATTCTGACTCTAACATCTGAATGTCTCAACAGAAATCGAGACTCATCAGACCAGGCAACATTTTTCCAGTCTTCAACTGTTCAATTTTGGTGAGCTCTTGCAAATTGTAGCCTCTTTTTCCTATTTGTAGTGGAGATGAGTGGTACCCGGTGGAGTCTTCTGCTGTTGTAGCCCATCCGCCTCAAGGTTGTGCGTGTTGTGGCTTCACAAATGCTTTGCTGCATACCTCGGTTGTAACGAGTGGTTATTTCAGTCACTGTTGCCCTTCTATCAGCTCGAACCAGTCTGGCCATTCTCCTCTGACCTCTGGCATCAACAAGGCATTTCCGCCCACAGAACTGCCGCTCACTGGATGTTTTTTCTTTTTCGGACCATTCTCTGTAAACCCTAGAGATGGTTGTGCGTGAAAATCCCAGTAGATTAGCAGTTTCTGAAATACTCAGACCAGCCCTTCTGGCACCAACAATCATGCCACGTTCAAAGTCACTCAAATCACCTTTCTTCCCCATACTGATGCTCGGTTTGAACTGCAGGAGATTGTCTTGACCATGTCTACATGCCTAAATGCACTGAGTTGCCGCCATGTGAT